GCTCCTGGGGGATGAAGGGGGGAAGGATGATGGTGATGATGATTATGATGATGATGATGGTGATGGTGGTGATGATGATGATGGTGATGACGATGACGATGATCATGATGATGATGCTGATGATGATGCTGATGATGATGTGATAGTGATGCCGATGACGATCATGATAACGATGATGATGATGATGATGATGATGATGATGATGAAGATGATGATGCTGATGCTGATGATGATGATGATGATGATGATGATGATGATGGTGGTGATGATGATGATGACGATGATGATGATGATGCTGATGATGATGATGATGCTGATAATGCGGATGATAATGATGGCGATGATGATGACGATAGCGATGATGATGATTCTTATGATGATGCAAATGATGATTATGATGACGATGATGAAGAAGATGATGATAATGATGCTGATGCTGATAATGATGACGATGATCATGAGGATGATGATGCTGATGATGCTGCTGATGATGCTGCTGATGGTGACGATGATGATGGTGACGATGATGGTGATGCTGAAGCTGCTGATGATGGTGATGCTGATGATGATGGTGATTACGATGATGATGGTGGTGGTGATGATGGTGTGGCTGATGATCATCCTGACGATGATGCTGATGACGAGGAGCAGAGCAGGGGGAGGATGACCAGAGTAACCCCAATATGCGTCACCGATGCTGCAATACACCTCCCTGTTCCAAGTCCCTTCTTCATGCAGGGATCCCCTTCAGTCCCTACAGTTTTCTATCTTCTCAAAGCGAGAAGCGCCCCCTTCAGGCGAAGTCTCCGTCTTCAGGCGGAATCCCCTGTGGCTTGCAGCTCAGGCGACGCATCCGTCTGTGAACGGAACTGCCCTGCAGCCTTCTAGCTGGCAGTCGGCGAGGCCAACCTGTACGAGAATACAGCTCAACACGAGGTGTCCAGCGAGCTCCCCGGGTCGAGAGAATGGCCGCTTCCCCACCAGTGCAACTGTTGTCCAATCTCACATGGACCGTCTTGAAATTAGGTTTAGATGTCGTAAGCGAGAGCCCAATGCTGGAAAGAAACGTCCGTGCATCCTTCCAGCTGTCAATTTTTGTGCACGTTTCTGGTTTTCGAGAGGCAGGAGATCTGAAGCGCGAGCCCCATTTTGGAAGAGAGCCGTCTTCCATTTTTATGCATGCTGCGATCTTTCAAGGCGAATGTACGCAGCGCTTGGGCGAGAGTTCCATTTTGAAGACGAGCCGCCTTCCATCCTGGTAGCTCTTGCAATCTTTCAAGACGAGCGTGCGTGGACCCAAAGTTTTTCAGACGAGTGTGCGTGGCGCGTCGGTCGGCTAGACGTAACAGTGACCCTTCGCTGGAGTGACCTTTGGTGCGGGCCAATTGGGGTCGCCCGATCGCCGAGCGCGATGCGATAGTAGCGTCTTGCGCGCCTGTGATTGGCCCCCCGCGGCCCCCAAAAGGCCGCGCACCCAAGGTTACTCTTACCCAGGGTCGCTCTTGCGTGTCGCCGATTCGGCGAGAGCTCCATTCTAAAAATGGCCCGCCCTCATTTTTCGAGCTGTCGGACACGTCAAGAGCCTCGGGGCCCTTAAAGTCAACCGGCAGGGAGGAGGAGGAGGAAGAGGAGAAGGAGAAGGAGGAGGAGGCGGAGGAGGAGGAGGAGGAGGAGGAACGAGGACGAGGCTAAGGGAGGAGGAGGGAGGTAGAAGGAGGAGGGGGAGGAAGAGGAGGAGGAGGAGGAGGAGGAGGAGGAGGAGGCCGCCCTGGCTGCCCCAGGTGTCCTCTCCCCTGTCGCCTCGTCGTTTGTTCCCCCTTCTGTGCTCGTGTCCGTCTCGTCGTCGTCGTCGTCGTCGTCGTCGTCGTCGTCGTCGTCATCGTCTTCCTCCGAGTATTATCAGGGAGTCCCCAAGGTGATTGCTGGGGGAGGGGTTAGGCTCCCCTAGTGTTAGCACAGGGCCTCCCGAACGACCTGTGGCCAACCCTCCCAGTGCGAACTACGAGACCAGGCCATTCGCAAACTGCGAACGAGCGAGCCTCCGAATATTGTGGGCCGGTGCGGGGCTACCGCCGTTTGCGAAGTAAACGCCCACTTGTAGAAGGACAGAGCGCCCCGCCCCCGCGCTCCGTATCTCACTGTTGGTCAACGAATGCGCCAAAAGGGAGCGCGACGTGTCGCGAAATAAACGCTCACTTCTGCGTGGGGGCACGGCTTCCTCGTCAACCTTGAACTGCGGAGGGGAGGCGGGCGAGCTTTGTCGTCTTGTTACCGATACCTGAGATTGGCGCTTGTCTCGCAAACAACGGTTCGCTGAATCGACGCGCGTGGAGTGGGATGGGGATCCGCCCGGCCGCAGCCCAAAGAGAGACCCCGCGGGCCGTGGAGGCCACTGCGCTGGGCTGCCTTTCTCAGTGCTTCTAGTGGGTGTACGGATTCGGCGTCATCCCAGCATACAAGTACAGTGGGGGCCCATGCCAAGAAACACCCTGCTTGCCTCCAAGGTGCCCTAGGTTTCTTGGGGTTCGAGGCTTCTGCTACGAAAAGTGTGACGTTCCCGCGCCAAAAATCGATGGACGTCTTGGGGTCTCAGGGTTTTTTTCTTGTGGAAGGTTTGTTGTGGACTGGCCTCCGCTGTTACGGATTCGGCGCCATCTCAACATACTAATGCTATGTGTACGTCGTCCCCCCAGGTGCGACGCGCGCACCGAGAAGTCTTCCAGTCTACGGGTCGTGGCGGCCGCTCTCTGGCCACACACGCGCCTCGGGAAACGATCTACCACGAGATGAGTATGCCAGATGTCCGGGTCGGACGCGCGCTTCCAAGCAGGACACCCAGCATCAGTCTGTCTCTGTGCGTCCCTTGGGCGGTTCTGCACCTCGGGCTCTTGGTCCCCGCGGCCGCCCTCTCCGCGGCCGCGCGGCGTGAGTACGCCAGATGTCTGGGTCGGACGCGCGCTTCCGAGGAGGACACCCAGCATCAGTCTGTCTCTGTGCGTCCCTTGGGCGGTTCTGCACCTCGGGCCCTTGTCAGGAGAGGAAAACATACACAGACACAAATATGCCCCCATTTCCCAGAAAATGTGGGAAAACATGGGAAGTGGGGGGGGGAAGAGACAGACACCCAGAAGATATGGGACAATATGGGGACCATTTTCATTTGTGTATATTTACTTGTGTGTCCTGGGGCCCCTTTCAATCTAGCATCAGTCTGTCTCCGTGCGTCCCTTGGGCGGCTCTGCACCTCGGGCTCTCGGCCCCCGCGGCCGCCCTCTCCGCGGCCGCGCGGCGGCCCCAATGCGGGGGGGCGGGGCCCTCGAGAGCGTCAGGGAGCAGCAGTGCCCACGGGCGGCCGCGCGCCCCCCCGCCGCCCCCGCGGCGCGGAGCCTTGCGCTCCAAGCCGTCGTGCCGTGAAGCATCAGGAGGGGAAAAAGCACACAGACACAATTGATCGTCGATTCCCCAGGAAAATATTGGAAAATGTGGGAAGTGGGGGGGAAGACAAATACCCGAAAATTATTGGAAAATATGGGGAATCTGTTTATTTGTGTGTATTTATTTGTGTGTCCTGGAGCCCCTTCAAAGCAGATCTCGACGCGGGGTTTTGCGCCTCGGCCTCCGGGGGTCCCTCGTGGGGCCTCGGGCCTGTCAGAAGACGGCCCAGGGCGGCAATCCGGTCCTGGGGGAGGGGTCCGGACCTCTGGGGGTCGACGCTGTGACAAAAGTCACGACGTCGGGGGCCTGGGTTCCGTGGCCCCCCGCACCCCTCGCGGGGGACGCTCGGCGACCTCTTCGCGGTCGTGCGCCTGCCGTTGTCTGAGGGTGTGCTGGCGTCATCTGGAAGTGTCTGCTCGCTTGTCACCACCCACCAAACCACCCGAACCCAACCCGAAGGCCCAGATTGACCCTCGATTTACAGTGGGGGGAGGGGTCGGGAAGCATCGAAAAAGCACGTGTGGAACCCGTGCCCCCCCCAACCCGAAATTCGGGTCTTCGGGTTGGGTTTGGGGTGGTCTGGTGGGTAGTCAGCTTGTGGCGCACAGGCCGCCGAGGCACCACCCGAGGAAGAAAGCGCAAGCGCTCTCGAGGAGGAGGAGGGCGAGGAGGAGGAGGAGGAGGAGGAGGAGGAGGAGGAGGAGGAGGAGGAGGAGGAGGAGAGGAGGAGAGGAGGAGGAGGAAGGAGGAGGAGGAGGAGCAGGAGAAGGGGGAGGAGGAGGAGGGAGGAGGAGGAGGAGGGGGAGGAGAAGGAGGGGGGAGGAGGGGGGAGGAGGAGGAGGAGGAGGAGGAGGAGGAGGAGGCACGGCGTGCTGCGCCCGGATCCTGAGCTGTGAGGGCGCCCTGGGCGGAGCGCGTGGCCCGCCGTGCCGCCACGGCGGGTGGCCAGGCGAGGAGGAGCTCGTCTGCCAGGGGCACGAGGAGAGGACGAGGCGGGGGGAGGCGGGAGGACGAGGGCGAGGAGGGGGGACAGGAGGAGGAGGAAGAGGAGGAGGAGGAGGAGGAGGAGGAGGAGGAGGAGGAGGAGGAGGAGGAGGAAGAGGAGGAGGACGAGGAGGAGGAGGAGGAGGACGAGGCGGCGACGAAGAGGGAAGAGAGGACGAGCGGGGGGAGGCAGGAGGACGAGAGCGAGGAGGGGGGAGGCAGGACGAGGACACAAGGGTTATGTCGGGCGCGTCCCCCTACATGGGGATTTTCGATGAACATTTAAAAGTACCCTAAACATACACCAAAAAGGTCCAAAACTACTAAAAGAATAGTCCCCAGACTATTTTTGGTTTTTTTTTTGATTATGTTTCGGGTATTTATTATTTTTCGTCGAAAATCCCCCTGCAGGGGGACAGGCCCGACTTAACACAAGGGGAGGACAGGGGGGGGCGGGAGGCGGAGGAGGGACGAGGATGGAAGAGCACCTCCTGTCTCTCGTGGCTCCTGCGGTCTGCTTGGCGCTGTGCACGCCTCGCTTGCCCGCGGCCCGCCGCGGGCGCCTGGCGCTACGGGCGCAC